CTCACACACACACACACACACACACACACACACACACACACACACACACACGTGCACAATGTCTTTCGCCTTCCGCACTCTCTGTTGCTTGAAAATCGGAATGCAGAACCACTCGTAACCTTGATGCATGCTTGCTCCAGAGTCCACACCATCTTTCCGCTTAAATTTTATTTCCTTTAGCCCCCACGCTTCCAGTTGCAGGGTCTTGTGTCTGGAAGGTGGAAATACTTTCTGCTTGAGGTTCGAGTACAATATATTTTGTCAAACAGAGCTGCCTGATAAACTGTAGGCAGAGAGGGTGATGTGGACAACAAATGAGGGGCTGTGACAAACTGTTTCGTCAAGCACAATGTATTGTCACACTGTGAATCGGATCGCAAAGGCGGAAAAAAGCAAAACAAGAAAGGAAAAGAAGGAAGGACAGCCCCACCCCACCTGTTCATCGCCTCTTACATACAAGGCTAGCCACGCGGATGACAGGTTGAGCGCTGGCTGCCCCCATCCATCCCCGTGTGTCACAAGGACCCACTTGCACGCACTGCCAGCCAAAAGGCAAAAAAGAGGTACTAAAGAAAAGGAGGAAGCCAAACAAACCTGACAGGGAAAGAAACCCTATCGGTGATCCCACAGATAAACCAATTGCCACAAAGCAAATAACACACACATCCCACAAAGCAACATATTTTTTCTCTTTCCAAGTTTTCTTGTTTTCTTGTTTTCATTTTTTCATTTTTTGTTTTTTTTCTTTAACTCTGATCTGTCGGAAGTGTCAAAGGCTTTATCTGTCCCCACCTTGGCAGATAGGACAGCTACAATGAGGATACTTCATAGAGGTACGGAAAAATTAATTGAATATAAAACCTATCTACAAGCTTTGCCTTATTTTGATCGATTAGATGTGGATGTTCACAGGGATACCCAAGGAGAGCTGTGCCAGCACAGCATTCAGCAGGATGGCTAGCACGAACCATCCCATCAAAACAGTCCTGACAGTTGGGGTACAACATTTCCTCCCGTGTGGACAATGAGGTGGGTGATAGGGATGTGTACAACGAGGAAAAATTTATGTTGGACACGCTTAAGTACAGACGGCGGCAGTCACAATAGAATGGTAATGGGTTTTGGCATAGATGATGCATTCCACAGCCCTATCACCCACCTCTGTACGTAAGGGTGTCCAACATTTCCTCCCGTGTGACACCTGTCGGGACAGAGACGCGGTGCGCCTTGGCTGTGGAATGCATCATCTATGCCATACCGATTATCAAACTATTGCGACCGCCGCCGTCTGTACTTAAGGGTGTCCAACATAAATTCTCCTCATTGTACACATCCCTATCACCCAGCAGGGGTAGTGCTGGGTGATAGGGATGTGTACAATGAGGAAATGTTGGACACCCTCAAGTACAGATGGCGGCAGTCGCAATAGAGTGATAATGGGTATGACATAGATGATGCATTCCACAGCCAAGGTGCACCGCGTCTCTGTTACGTTGAACATAGCCTGACTCATTGTCCCACCATCCCACAGTTCCCACTGGGCAGCTGCACGAACGAGTGCCATATAATGCCCGGGTCTGTGTAAAATACAGGCAGAAATATGAGGATGGTTATTGAGGTCATCGCCTGGCATCGCATGATGCAGTGGAGATGGGTTAGGAGAAGCAGCAGAGTGAAGAGAAGCGGCAGGGGCAGGACCAACTTGCCGCCCGCGATCGGGGAGTGGCCGCCATCGAGCAGACGGTAATCGAGGCATAGGCAGAACTGCATTAAAACCTGAAGGGTGCAAGGTATGCAGCCGTGCACCCTTCGGACCCAGAAGCCTTCTCTAGGTGAGGCCGCTCACCGAAAGAGGGCATGATCAATCTCACCGCGATGATTAATGTAGAACGCACGATCAATGCATTCCAGCGGCCAAACAGCAAAATTGAAAGGAGACTGTTGTCGCATAACGTGACAGAGATGCGGATGACAAGTCGCACATGCCAATGCTCCTTCAAACGTTGACGTGCAGTATGAACTGTCTGGCCAACATACATACGCCCAGAGGGTATATGCACAACAGCATGAATGACGCCAGCAACAGAAAGTGGATCATTACCTGGTTGGAGCAGCTGTTGGTTGATACCTCTCAGCTGTAATTCAAAGCGCTCAGTTGTGGTGGCAGTATCTAGCCGCCGCAGTCCATTTTTATGCCATGCGACCGCAGAATACAAATCAGTATTTCAGCGAAAATGGGCTTTTTATGCAAGTTGACATGTTGCCATTTAGAGACGGGGGGATTACGACCTTGTGATCGAAGAGAAGGAAGCGGTGCTATGCCGGTTGCGCCACCAACAGGAAGAATCCCGACCCGAATGAACCGACCCCCAGGAAAGCAGGACTTCAAGCCCGATGGCTCAGGCTGGGAAACCTGCCATCATCCTTTCTGCATCCACAGAAGATGTGGTCCTTACCCTATCTGCTGCTGGTGGTCTCAGGGGCCAAAAAATGATGACGGTCTGAAATACCTGGGAGTGGCTTGGTACAGCCATGGACTGTTGAAATACAGTCCCGATTTATTCCCCCCCCCCCTCAAATCCAGATACAATCAGATGACTAGAATAAAAAGCTGGGAAACAGTGACAAGCAGTGCGCTTGTTGACAATAGAGAGAGGCCTTCATGGCCTTGAAATCAGACTGCGCTCCGAACTTGCTTTCAACATGCATACACGAGAACTGATGGCAAAACCAAACTCGTCAGCTCAGAATCAACAATGGACTTGCTCTTAAACGCTGTTCAAGACAACGGTACAACTTGCGGCTATGGCCGCCGAACACTGTCTCCACCACCAACCTCCTTTCTCCCTCATGCACACATGTACGAGGATCTACCGTGAATGTCCACGCTACGCAGCCACACACACTCTGTACACTCTGTCTGAGACAACAGCTGGGCGGTTACGGCCGCCATTGTCTTCCTCCTAGCTATGTCCGTCATCTTCCTCACTGCCCACTTCAGCTGCGGCCACCTGCAGACCTCCACGCACAAGTCACCACCAAGGCAGCGCTTCTGCATGGCTCGCCGGCGAATGAATGAATGGCTGGCCGCTGCCTCTTTATTTATAGTAGCCCGCAGGTGGTCTGTCCCTGCCCCAAACCGCGTGGGCCCGGGCCTTTGTACATGTGGGCCTGGCTCTGTAGGTTTCCAAACTGCGTGGGCCTCCCGAGCCAAACTGCGTGGGCTGCTGGGCCCCAAACCGCGTGGTCTAGAACCTTCCCCACGTGCAGACCCTACCCTGGTACTTGCTGACTAAGACAGACTCTTCCGGACAGACTCTTCCAGAACCTAGAGCCTACGGACTGTTACGTACGGACTGACTCTTAGGCCTACGAAGAGGTAAGTAGAGACTTCCAGAACAGACCTTCCTAGACTACTGGTAATAGACTTAAGTAGTAACCTACAGACCTAGGTATCAAGCCCAGCTTCCCTTCTTACAGCCTAACCTATGACACAGGACAGGTCTAGGGATCGACTCCACAGTTCACTGGGTCTATGTAACAGGGTACAGGGTAGGTCTAGGGATCGAATCTCACTCAGCACACAGGGTCGATGTGCAACAAGGTTCTGGCACAGGTCTAGGGATCGAATCTCTGTGTGTGCAAATGTCGGGTCAATTGGGTGAAACCGTTTCAGCCTTTATTATGGACATTAAAGTTGATTAAACTGCCATGTCGTTAAAAGTTAAAACTGACTTTTTTTCGTTTTAACGAAATTGTTTGAGGTTGGAAATTGTAGATTTTGCTGTGATTTTCATGACCTTTTTTGTGCTCAGGAGGGCAGTGTCTACCCAAACACACAGGAAATCTTGAAGAATACAGTAAAAAAAAAACACTCAATTTCCAACTACAATCAATTTCCTTAAACCACCACTACCTTTCAGGCTGGAAGGATAACCTTCTTTTTATTCTTTTTTTCTTTTTTTTCTTTTTTTTGGGGGGGGAAGGATAACCTTTTTTGTTTTTTGCTTTTTCTGTTTTTTTGGAAGGATAAACTATTGTACTGTATTGAACGTATTGTTAGGAGGGCAGCGGAGGCTGGGCGGCGCCTCACCAAAATGGCTGGCTACACCAGCCAAAAGGAAACAAAAGGGGTCATGCTGGAGCTTCAGCAAAAGCTTGGCCTGCAGTTGGTACGCCGTCTGAACAAAACGAGGCTAGGAGGTAGTGGTGTTTTAAACGGGGGAAATAAACTCTAAAAATAGTGTTATCACTGTTATGGCAGTTATTATCTGATGGAATGAGCAATGACCGCGCGGATGGTGAAGACTGCGTTTTGAAATGATAAGGTTTGCCTCGAAGGGGTTCAATGTAGAGGGCCTCGCATCGAGATGGCACTTTCCCGATCGATAGCTTCATGCACGAGGAGAGGTTGGGGCAGCGAGTCGTTTGCAATGTGGAAGACGTTTGCAATGTGGAATATTTGGATCCCCTACCTGGTGTCCACTTGATGTACCTCATTGGTTACCGGTTGGAAATGCGCATTGTGGTATGAGGTTGTGGGTTCAAAACTCCGCAGCCTCGTGCATGGACACCGCCAGGGCGTTAGTATGACGCACGGCTGGACACACCCTCCCCTAGGCTGATGCATGGTACTATTACAGACACTGCCTGTGCACCACCCAGGGGGTCAAGTCCATGGGTGTTGATGCTGGTCTGGTCTTCACGTTGGTTGCTGGTAGTTGTTGGCTTTGGTCGCTCGGATGATCTCCCCCAGTTCCGACACTACACACATTATATCCACTTCCCACGGTAGTGCAAGTGGTAGAGCCATCCAGTTTCGTACTGTAAGTCACAGGTTCGAGTCTGGTTCCGGACTTTGGGGGGGTCCTGTCCAGTTTCTTGTCTCTTTGGGTTGTGACAGGAAGCTGGTTTTTGGCATGCGTCTGATGGACGATATGTCATTACTTTTGATTTTTCGTAAAGGGGACCGAGGCTCCATCTGTAGAGCCAACGAGATCCATCGGAGGTTCGAGAATTGTTATCCACGCCTACTGACAATGAAGCGGACTGATGAGAAGACAGGGTCCTGGGAATTTATCGGGTGTTGATTGAATATTAACCAGCAGTACCCCTTCTTGAGCAGTGTCCAGGCTACAAAGAATCAGCAGACTATTTGGGGACCGCGCCCTGTGGTTTTCAGAACTGGCCGGGATTCCTTGTCCTGGGCAGATGTGAAATGGAAGAAAGCCGCAATTACCGGGTGGCTTTGTCGTATCGACCGAAACACAACGGATCGAGCGGCAATTCCGAAACAAGTGCTCACGCTGCGACGGGAATACCATGCGACAGGTTTTTTGGATGAATTTTTTGGAAACGTCGTGAGAAACTTCGCGCCAAACCGCGGCAGGGTCTGGCAGCTTGTGGCCGGAATAGTAAGCATGTAGAGGCATCGGAAGTTGTAGGTATTAGTATATATAGCTTAGTTGTGTTTTACTTAGTCCTTCTYAGCTTACATGGCTCCGGKGTTTAGGCTCCGGTASGGGTTGGAGGATCACAACAGTCAAGGGCAGAGGAAGGGGGACGAGTAACAGTTCACGAGTCCGCTCTTGAGTCCGTTTTCGCGGTACTCTTGRGYGCGGCCTCTTGTTTCTGATTTCTCTTAATGCTATGTTCATTGTTGCTTTGGACTTCGGTTCTCGACACTTGATTGTGTTGCTGTCGTTTTCGACTCGACTTGCTCGTCTCGTTGCGTATGCTTCCTATCTTCTTGTTGTGAACTCATGAAAACCTTGTCTGTATAGACTATGTGTTTTTCTTACCTCTTGTCAAGCATTTGGTAACCAATGGGGGATCGATACCCCGTTTTGGTGGTCATACATCGGTGGGCGTGAAGCATTATCCCAAGTGAAGTGTCGCTCCAAGTAAGTATCGTCCCGAGTATCGTCTTCCAGCATCACTCGACGCGCTTGAAGTTCCCTGAAGACCTGCGAAGTCAAGGAACGGGTGACGAAGAGATAACCTACACTGTCCAACGAAATAGGGGAGATTATATCTGTCTGGAGGGGGAGCTGTAATGTCTTCATCCAGCCAAGCTGGCGGCAGTAGGGATGGCAATGGACCTCGGTGTAATCAACCTGTCTGCTATAGCTGCAACCTGCCAGGTTATTACGCACGAGACTGTGGAGCGTATTGGAAAGAGAGGTTTGAAGGGAAGAGGGGCGATGCAGCAGCAGCTACAACAGTCAAACCAGCGTGTGGACGATCGGCATCACCAGTCAGAAAGAGATGGGAACCCTCCCGGAGGTCACCATCAGCGGACCTGCGTTACCAAGGACGCAGAAACGAAGATCGCGATAGCGTGAAGGAATTGGTGAGTTTACTTATGGCGGAGCGAGAGGAGAAAGAGATGGCAAAGAAGGAGGAGGAAGAGAGAGTTAACAAGGAAAAGGAGAGGAAGGAAAAGGAGGAGAGACGATTGAAGAAAGAAGAAAAGAAACGAAGAGAGCAGCAGGAGAATGACGAAAGAGTGGCGAAAATAGTTAACATGCAATTTTCCAGGAAGTGGGGAGGAGCAATGGAAAGAATGGGACCGGATAGCTCTCCGGAAACCTCAAGACAACACAGGCGATACCGAAAAGCCTCAAGAAGAGGACGTCGCCACCGGAGAACCGCATATGCCTCCGTGGATTCTGACGATCTGTCCGAGATTAGCGAACAGACACGTAAGTTGTCCATCTCCGAGAAGAGGAAGCGTCCATCCACGGTCACGGAAGATTCGTCTTCGACCAGTCCCTCAACAACTCCGCTCAAGCTCAACCGAGCTAGGGACTTGTATCTTAAGTCCCCAGTGAGATCGGCACCCAGAGCCAAACCGTCCTCTGCGAAGAAAATGAAGACTACTTTGCAGGCTACTACCTTGAAGAAACTTCGAGAGAAAAGTGACCCAGCTGTTAAGGGAGCTGCCAGAGGTCAGGGAGCAGGATCGCGAAACCAGTTTGTCAAGGATATCCTGGAGTATCTCGACGGTTTGGACTACTGTGTAGTGCAGAAGATGTGTAAGAAAGAAAAGATTCGGTACGTCCGAAAGGGACAGGCAATTGCAGCACTAGCGGAGAAGAGAGCGCACGTGGCGTACGAGGGGACAAAGGATGGGCTGCCAGAATATGCGAAAGGGAAGGAAGAATCCACTACTTCGAGCGAGAGCTCGGATAGTGACGATTTCTCCCCGAGCCCCGAGAAGGCGGCTGCATGAAGTGGTAAGAGTGACGCAGAATAATGGGAATACTGTAGGTTGTTATCTCGTAAGCGAGGAGCGTACTCACCTGTGAAGAAAGAGGATGAGAGTCTTTTTCGTTGGCTGATCCTAGCCTTGACACTGCGGGGCTGTATTCCTGGCTCACAAAGTACACTAGCTACTGGTCAGACTTGTTGTCACGTGATGCTGAATTTTTTGATAATCCCGGTAGCTGTGTATATGTCGGGGTTTCTCCTTGGTGTCGTGCTACGTACGTCGGGAAAACCGAGCGATCGCTGCATATCCGATGGGCTGAGCATAGGAACAGTAGTAGAGGCACGACGTCTTCTTCTTCTCATTTTCACCGGTGGTTGGAACGCTTTGATGTTGGGAGCTATGTGCTTATCCCTGTTTTTGTCGAAAGTGTCGAGGAGCTAATTAGTTTGGAGAATTTTCTGATCCGAACCTGGTCACCCAGTTTGAACACCCGAGGAAAGAGAGGCACGAGAAATAGGAAGAAAAGGCAGTCAAGGAAGAAACGTCGAGGGAGGAAGGAACGAAAGCAAAGACTAACCAGATCTTACCCTAACCAGAAGATTGACCAACCTCGAGTGATCTGAGTTAGGATTGATGGCGCGGAAGTCGGGTCAGCCAAGATACTGCAGTCTTTGTATGATCAGGAGAAGAAGCACAGGAAGTTCGTTTTGAGCTCAGAAGGCGGGAATGCCTGGTGTGATGGCTGGAAGAGTGTTAAAAGAGTCTTCGGAAATTCGGAGGTACTGGTTGATGGTAATGGGAAACTGCTGAGACACTGTAAAAAGGATCTTGAGGAAGGGAGGACGATTTGTGTTGAATACCTCAAAAGATGGAAAAAGCACTCCAATTGGAATCATCCCTTCCTAATTTCAATCCTGAAGCATTTCAAGAAGCGAGTTACTCTGCGTTTCCGTGACCTGAAATTTCTGGTGGAGTTACTAGGAGCCATCAACGAGTTCTTGAAGAAAACTACTCGGCAGCTACTGAAGAGGATTCTGTACAGTGAGATTAGATTAGGATATGGCTTTAAGTTGGGGACTAATGTTGTTCCACGTGTCAGATTTGATGATAGAATTAGCCTAGCAGGATTAAGAAGGCTATGTGATGAGAAGATAAATAATTCTGTCTTTCCTAAGATGATTAACGACATCTATAAGACTGGAGTCAGGGTGGTTTGGACCAAGAATCCAAGCATCGCCGACATTCTTTGCAACTATCGAAAGACCGCCGCAGGGGAAGTGCAGGTCTGTTGTTGCAGAGGGTATGACCTCCCTCGACAGGAGGGACATGTGAGATGTCGACTTGGAGAAATTGAAGGTCTGCCAGATGGATTGAAGAACGGAAGGAACATTCCTAAAGCACACAGGAATAATCGAGAGGAGTCTCTGGTAATGGAGCTGTCGGAGACTTTCCTGAATTGGAAACTGGGCGTCAGGGCCGACATTCACGGGGAACGAAAGGATGTGGCCGGGTGCTTCAAACAGTCGAAGGCTGATATAAACACAATTTCCACCGAAGAAGTTCTAAATATCCAGCGAAGGTTCTCAGAGTTGGTCTTGACTGTTGTTGATCGAAACGCCGGTGAAATTGTGGTGATGTGTCCGCAATTGTATTACGAAGCTATGTGCGAGATGTTCGTACGGAACTCGGGGTACGTGATATGCCTGAAGGAAGAAGAGGAGGTGTGGAAAGAGGCGCGGCTGGATCTCAAGCAGGCTGGTTTGGCAAAGTTGGGAAGATGGGACATCAAAGGAAAAGCTGGGAAATCCTATGTGCTGCCTAAGCACAAGGATTTGTCCCAATTTCGGCCTATCGGTTCCACCTTTTGTGAACCAACCATCAGAATCTGTAAGAAGGTTTCCAAGGCGCTCAATCTGTTGCTAAATTCGATTCCTAGTTCCTGCCATTTCAACTTGCCTGCGGTGAGCCAAATGGCGGACAAGATTAAAAAAGCTAATGCACAGATACAGGGGGCTTTTGTGGAAAGTGGAGTAATGGCAACTTGCTATGACATAAAGGATATGTTTAGCAAGCTGCCTCATGATGAGATTCTGAGGTCCTTGGATTGGGTAATTAGCTGTTTTCCTGATAAGAAGGTCATTAGAGTCAACCCACGGGGAAAAGGGGCTTCCTTTGGAGAGAAGAAAGGGGAGGGTTGGTGGGCAATTGACATCAGGGATGTTAGGAAGTTTCTGAAATTCGAGTTGTCTCACACCTATACACGTGCTACTAATGTACTGCTAAGACAGGTTGTTGGGATTCCGATGGGCAAGAGTACAAGCCCGCCACTAGCATGTATGATGTGTGCACATGTTGAGTGGCGGTTTCTTGTCTCTTTGGGTTGTGACAGGAAGCTGGTTTTTGGCATGCGTCTGATGGATGATGTGTCGTTACTTTTGATTTTTCGTAAAGGGGACCGAGGCTCCATCTGTAGAGCCAACGAGATCTGCCAGAGGTTCAAGAATTGTTATCCACGCCTACTGACGCTGAAGCGGACTGATGAGAAGACAGGGTCCTGGGAATTTATCGGGTGTCGATTGAATATTAACCAGCAGTACCCCTTCTTGAGCAGTGTCCAGGCTACCAAGAATCAGCAGACTATTTGGGGACCGGGCCCTGTGGTTTTCAGAACTCGCCAGGATTCCTTGTCCTGGGCAGACGTGAAACAGAAGAAAGTCGCAATTACCGGGTGGCTTTGTCGTATCGACCGAAACACAACGGATCGAGCGGCAATTCCGAAACAAGTGCTCACGCTGCGACGGGAATACCGTGCGAAAGGTTTTTCGGACGAATTTTTTGGAAACGTCGTGCGAAACTTCGCGCCAAACCGCGGCAGAGTCTGGCAGCTTGTGGCCGAAATAGTAAGCATGTAGAGGCATCGGAAGTTGTAGGTATTCGTATATATAGCTTAGTTGTGTTTGACTTAGTCCTTCTCAGCTTACATGGCTCCGGGGTTTAGGCTCCGGTAGGGTTTGGAGGATCACAACAGTCAAGTTGTGAACTCATGAAAACCTTGTCTGTATAGACTATGTGTTTTTCTTACCTCTCCTGTCTCTACCACATAGTGAGAAACTTCTCGCCAAACCGCGGCAGGGTCTGGCAGCTTGTGGCCGGAATAGTAAGCATGTAGAGGCATCGGAAGTTGTAGGTATTAGTATATATAGCTTAGTTGTGTTTTACTTAGTCCTTCTCAGCTTACATGGCTCCGGGGTTTAGGCTCCGGTAGGGGTTGGAGGATCACAACAGTCAAGGGCAGAGGAAGGGGGACGAGTAACAGTTCACGAGTCCGCTCTTGAGTCCGTTTTCGCGGTACTCTTGGGTGCGGCCTCTTGTTTCTGATTTCTCTTAATGCTATGTTCATTGTTGCTTTGGACTTCGGTTCTCGACACTTGATTGTGTTGCTGTCGTTTTCGACTCGACTTGCTCGTCTCGTTGCGTATGCTTCCTATCTTCTTGTTGTGAACTCATGAAAACCTTGTCTGTATAGAC